CGACTTCAATTCTGATTGTATTTTCTCGTTATCTAGACCGGTTATGCTATTTTATGGGGTTTTCTTCTTATTTATTTTTTAATGGCAGGATTTGAATGTTTCTAACTTTTGCGACTTGTACAGGAATCTCACTGGGCGCAATTTGGAAGGAGCATTGGCACCAGATATTGGGAGTCTCTCTCATTTAAGAGTTCTGTGAGTATTCTATAAATGATTGATTGAATACTATAAACGATTTCATAAGCATCAATTCTATAGTTATCTTTGATTGATGTCTTTTTGTGGCCAGTGACCTATCCAAGAACCATTTTTTCGGCCCAATACCTCCACAGTTGGGGCAGCTTACAAAACTCGAAACATTGGATTTGAGGGATAACGAATTCACTGGAAGAATTCCAGCAGATTTAGGAGAGTTGAAATCTCTAAGACATTTGTAAGTAAATATTTCTTCTGACATCATAGTACGTTTTGTAGCTAAATGGATTCAGTTTTTAGCTTTGGCAAAATATATATATATCTTTTGTGTGTATTTCTAGGTTGCTCAGTAACAATAGATTTCAAGGGCGCATTCCTGTGGATATTAAGAAGCTTACTTTGCTGAAGCATACCCAGTTTGATGATATACTAACAACTACTGCTAAAAATGGCTGCATTAATAGAAAATTCGGGCACTGGTAAGTTTTTTCATGCTTCCATTTTCCCATTTATTTAACACAGTGTGAAGTGACTTATTTCAAATCTAGACGCCTATGGTATAGTACACAAATGTTAAGACGGATGATATATATATATATATATATATATATATATTATATTTTTTTGTGTGTGGATGTATTGAAAATGCCAATTTTGCATCTCTTATGGTATTTCCTTTATGATATATTGCGTGTTTTTGGGCAGCACGCGGCAGGTGGTTATCGAACACTCGGAAAAATCGATCTATTTCAAAGTTCCAAGTAGATTGAGCATAATCCACTACCTTAGAAAGCTCACACAGTAAGCAATCACAACTCAATCAATAATACACTCAATTTTTTTTTTCTGCCTCTTCCTTTTTTCCATCTTACTTACCGAAAAATGTTTGGCCTTCCGTGAAAAAGGTTGAGATTTGGACACGGATTATCAGACAATCGTGCTGCCGGTGAAAATAATAGCTGCTGCAATCTAACAGGTGAACCAAAAACCAATGGCTAATTTAATTTACAAAAAACACATATATTTAAAAAATTATTCATTATTTATTTATTTTTCTTTCATTTGCTAGATTCACATGAGCCCGGTAACAAAAATGTACGTCGTGTTCTAGCAGAACAGTCGAGTAGTAACCTTATTGCTTTGCCTCCCGATGTGTGGGCCCCACCCCCCTCGGAAAGTGGGGAATCTCTCCCGAGCAGAAGCAGCGGCTCATTTCCAGCTGTCCCGAACGCGAAAAATTTATCTCCTTCCGCCAGTGCAGACAACAGCACGCCTCCCGAGACAGCTACGAGCCAAATGAATGATGATAGCAGCAAGGGAACGTCTGGAAAAACCGAGCACTCGACGAAGCTCATAATCGGAGTTTCGTGTGCAGCTGTCTTATTTGTTCTCGTTTTAGGTTTATTTGTCGTGTTCAGAAGCAGAGCAGCTAGGACGATCGGACCTTGGAAGTCCGGATTGAGTGGGCAGTTGCAGAAGGCTTTTATTACAGGTATGGATTTTGTTCTTACACGAGATCAATGTTTACTTACTTTAGGGAAAAATTGCATTTTTAGTCCTGCTGGTTTAACGCCATAACAATTTTTAGTCCTAAGGTTCTAATATTTTGCTTTTTGGTCCTGTGATTTAATATCTTGTTGTAATTGCACACACCATAACATTTTTTAGTCCCAAGGTTCTAACATTTTGCTTTTTGGTTCTGTGATTTAATATTTTGCTGCAATTGCGGTACTCTTTGACGATTAAAATTGCAACAAATTTCCAAATTCCCATATTTTCGATTAGCAATTTAAGTCCTGCAATTTAAAATTTTGTTGCAATTTCAGTCAATTTGAAGACTGAAATTGCAGCAAATTATTGAATCACAGGACCAAAAAGGCAAAAAGCTGAAATCTTGGGACTAAAATTGGTATAAAAGGACTGAAATTGCAACAATATTTTTAATTAAAGGACCAAAAGGCAAAAAACTGGAATCTTCGGACTAAAATTGCTCTGATGAAAAAATGCATTTTTGCCTTTACTTTAGTTAGCTTGAAACAGAATGAGTTATGGGGTTGTATGATTTTTCTGAGTATTTTTAGCTCATTTTGATTTTTCTTTTATGTAACATGAATCCAACCCACCAATCTATTTAGAAAATGATGCATCAATATTTTATTATCGCTATATTGCCAATATTCAAACGGACGTGATTTATTTATAGGAGTTCCAAAGTTGAACAGAGCCGAGCTAGAAACTGCGTGTGAGGATTTTAGCAATATTATACGTGTCCATGAAGGTGTGGCCACTCTTTACAAGGGAACTCTGTCCAGTGGAGTCGAAATTGCAGTTGTCTCGACTGCTGTGGGCTCGATAAACGACTGGTCTAAACGTGCAGAGTTAGCATTCAGGAAGAAGGTTAGATGATGATAATAATGAGTTTGATCTAGTAAATTTAATTCATTCTACCATTTTTTATTGTAGTTTTTTTATATTTTATGCTATCACTACAGATTGATACCTTATCCCGTGTGAATCACAAGAACTTTGTAAACCTTATCGGGTATTGCGAGGAAGACGAGCCTTTCACTAGGATGATGGTTTTCGAGTACGCCCCAAACGGCACTCTCTTTGAGCACCTTCATGGTAACTAACTCGTAATATAATTTATTAAAACTCATTAAATTCCATTTATTGAATTTCTTTTAACATCATCGATTATATATAAATATATATTATTTTGTTTAATTATTTTCAGTAAAAGATCTCGAGCACCTCGACTGGAATGCGAGGATGAGGATCGTGATGGGGGCCGCTTACTGCCTTCAGTACATGCACGAGTTGAAGCCACCGGTGGCCCACATTAACTTGACTTCCAAAGATATATTCTTGACGGACGATTATGCTGCTAAAGTAAGGATTCTTTATTAGTTCTTTTGTCTAATCCGAAGGCAAGAAAAAATGTTGTTTCATTATTTTTTTTTTTTTAAAATGGAGTAAAATTTTCGGTTTGCAGATTGCAGATGTGGGTTTTTGGCTGGAACTCGTGGTGAAATCCAAGAATAAGGGAGAAAGCGATTCGGAGCATTCTGAGCTTCCGCCTCTTGCTGACGTGGAAACAAATGTTCATAGTTTCGGGGTGCTTTTGCTTGAAATAGTTTCCGGAATGCTCCCTCACTCGCCCGAGAAAGGGAATCTCACAAACTGGGTAAATATTTTACACAATGATTGTTTTATATATTTATTCTTTTGAATTTTGATCTCGATTCTCAAGGGAGTAATTTAAGAAAAAAGATGCAACTTTATTGCTAGTTTTTTCAAGGCAAAAAATGCATTTTTAGTTCTGCTGGTTTAACGTCATAGAAATTTTAGTCCCAAGATTCTAACTTTTTGCCTTTTGGTCCCGTGATTTAATATTTGGCTGCAATTTCAGTCACTTGAGTACTGAAATTGCAACAAAATTTTAAATTACAAGACTTAAATTGCTAATCGGAAATATGAGAACTTGGAAATTTGTTGCAATTTCAATTCTCAAAGTGAGGACTTAAATTGCAGCAAAATATTAAATGAAAATGTTAGAACCTTGAGACTGAAATTGTTATGGCGTTAAACCAGCAGGACTAAAAATGCAAATTTTTTTTTTTTTTTTTTTTTTTTTTTT